CCGCCCGGGGCGCCACCCTGGACCCTAGCTCGCCCCGGCAGCGCCTCGGGTTTCCCACGCTGGCCTCAGGGACCGCGACCGCGCCCCAGCCAGAAGTTTGTCCCGGGTCACCGGAGGCGAGCAGGAGTTGGAGCGCGCCAGGCACGGGGCGGCCGTGTTCCCGGCGGCGGCTGCTGGGCGCCCTGGGCCGCTCGATCAGCAGCTTGCAAGGGGCACGCTCGCTGCCGTGCCCGAGCCTTGCGCCCGGGAAGCCGAACGCGCTTCTGCCGCTCCACTGCGTCCTGTGGCCGCTAGAGTGGGGCCCGGAGCTCGCAAGGCAGCAGTCGCAAGGAACCAGGGGTTGGGCAGAACTGGTGATTTCTGTGTCTGATGGAAATGGAGAGTGAATCAAACAATGTCTTGATATAATTTTAATTTGAGATCCGATGTGACTGTTAAGAGAACAAGAATGCTACCAATGATTAAGTTTAAAGCAAAATTCAAGTTTTTATTGCAATTCTGTGGGGTTTTTCGTTTTGGTTTTGTTTTTGTTTTTGTGGTTCTTCATCTTGCTCAGAGTAACCCCATTGGGGCACCTGTTGGGCTATTTACCAACCCAACTGCAGGCAATCGTGTTTAAATTAGGATCACAATTTGTGTTCTAACTGATAACACTTAAGTAGGTTAGTGCCCAGTGCCCGGAGCCTGAAGCTCTGCCCGCTGCTCCCCCCGGGAGGATGCTCTGCTAGGTTGTCACTTGCTCTGTGTTGTTTCAAAGGCCAAAGAAATAAATGAACCCCGCAGGCCTGTAGTTGAAGGTGGGGCCCACAACCAGCCGATGATGACTTTCGCTTTCAATCATCTCCCAGAGCCAGTGTGGACACCCAGAGGACTTCTGTGTCTGCCAGGCCAAACGCATTCCGAGTAGAGTATTTTCTTTGGGAATTCTATTCAGGAGGTCCTCCCTGTGAGGCCCTTCCTTTAGAAGTCTCCACGTAAATGACTTGTTTAACACCATCCAAATCACCTTTTGCCTTTATCCGATAATGAGCCTGCCTGCAGGGGGCGGGGGGAGGGAGGGGGGCTTATCCTGAACTTGGAAGGGAAATTCTGAAGTCTCATACTCACTGCAACAGAATCAACAAGTGACGAGGTCTAACCCGGCCTTTTTGTTGAAATTATACTTCATTAGATGTGTCGAAATTGCTTTTTGAAAGTGAATGATGACAGATCCCTCCACCCCTGACATTTTGATGCTGGTAGGAGCATCCATAAAAAGGCACACACAAAAAAAATGTAGTCTCAGTGTTTCCAAGTATCTTCAAATCCGATGAAGAGTTCGATGAAGAGTTTGATATCAGGTAACATTTCATTCATCCTGTGTTACGTGCTTTCAATCAACCTTCAACAACCTTCATTGGACCTCAAGCCACTGAGGCTGTGTTAGCTGCTGATGGCTGCTTTAGGCTGGTGATGACACCCAACAAAGAGAGAAAAGAACCAGGGGACCACAATGAGGACAGTGCGTGACTGTGGCCATCTGGCCTCAGTCCTCTGGGTTTCCTGGACTTGGGCATCCAACTGCTAGGATAGAAACACCTATCCTAGAACTCCGAAGAACCCCTGTTTCTTCCCCCATTACTTAAAGCCTCATGCCCATGCCAGCTCTGTGAATTTCAGTTGTTCCTCTGTTCTCCCAGGTGACAGTGCTGAGGGACCTGCTCAGCTTCCCTGCCATCCACATTTCAAAGAGTGGTGGGAATTTGCCTGCAGCCTCCTCTGACTCCTGCTTATTTACTATCCCTTGCAGGTGACTGCTCAAAGCCACCTTTGGTCTAAATAAAAAGAAAATAAGTAGTCAGGACTCCTCAGGGGGATATCCCTGCAGGAATCTCCCCAGGGGTTTTGTCTTTGACTTGTGCTTTCTGCTGAAGAGATTTCTCTGTTGAGTCTAACTACCACTTGTCACTCGGTTGTCTCTGGGGACAAAGTTGACATTTGCAGAGTCGGTTGGCCAAAGTGAGGAGTGCTGTCAGGCCAACTTCTAAGATGAGTGGGTTCTGAGAGAATGAAAATGAAAGTCCACTCAGCTGGTGTTTTCAAAGATTAATAAACCTGGCAGAGGTGTCGTCCTAATACAGCTCAAAAGAGAAGAAAGAGAACCAAATTGCAGCATAAGAAAGCTCATGGGTTGTTTCTTTCCATTCTTCTTCTTTTTCTTTTTTAAACAGAGGAATTGGTGGGAATTAAACTCGGGGCTTCAAATATGTTCTGTACATGTGCGTATAGCTCTGTGCTACTCAGATCCTCCAAGGCCCAAGGGAGAGGAGACCATCTGGGTTCAGTAGTCAGCAGGGCCACTGGCTGAGCTGTGCAGGGACACTACTTTGACCACAGTGATTCTATTTCTAATTCTGTTCCAGATCCTTAAAAGTCAAAATGTAAATGAAAACAGATCTGACTTGCCTGCAACTCTTCTACCCAGACTTTGCAGGTTAACCACACGCAGAAAGTTGCTAAGACATCCCAAGTACCCTGTAGGGAGGGTTCCTCGGCAGCCACTTAAGTGGGATCCAAAGGAAAAGAGATGTGAATTGTTCTCAGGCTCTTCTTTTCTCTCTGGCCCTCCCTGAAATAATAACTCATAGTTAGGTTTTTGTCCAGATCACAAAAGTGTGTTTTGGTGTATACAGGTCACACAACAATGTGATCTCTTGATCAAAGTATGTGAGGAAATTGGGAGGAGACAGTTCTGGGTTTGGAACCCCGTGGCTTGCACAATGGTGTTTTTTCTCAAAGCCCCATGTAAACTCCGAGATGGTGAGCCAAGGTGACTCTTTATTATGAGGATCTCTGGCTAAGCAGGAGTCTTAAGCATCAGTGTATACTAAATCCTGGCTCCTGGATCTCATCTTTTCTTAACTTAAGGGGCTGTGTGAGTTCACGGGTAGCAGAGGGGACTTGGCCATGTGGCATGCAAGTCCTTGGACTCATGTGTACTTACATATGCAGAGACTTCCACTTTACTGGGCTTTGGGCTGTTTGTTTCTTTGATGCATTGCTGAGGATCACACCCAGGGCCTCAACTGTGCGTGACAAGTGCTGTACCTCCACGCTCCACACCCAACCCCTATCTTCAGATATGAGGAGAGCAAACAGAATGCTTCTCCCAACAAGAACTGCATTCCACAGCTACCGTCTCCTGAGGAATGTGGTCTCCCCCTTCTGCAGCTGCAATACCATGGATCAGACAGTTGAAAGGGAGACTATGGTGGCTCCTGTTTGAGAGGAACAAGGACAAGGGTCATATCTGGTGATGAGCTGTTTTCTGGCCAGTTAGTCCTAGGCAAGGAAGGACACACATGCACTTGTTTTCCTGTCTTAGAAAACCACTTTCGCTGTCCTGGGGATGTGGCTACAAGGACACTTTTCACCTCGCAACACCCTGGACTCATTTCCAGCACTGAAAACCCACAGTCAATGGCGTTCAATCATATGGCTCATCCTGACGGCCCTTGTCTAACCTAGTCACAGAGACAGCCCCTTCTATAGACACAGCAGTCAGAGTCCTGACAGAGATGAAACTCATCAAAGTCAGCATCATCAGGCAGAGGGGACATAGCGATCCCATAGCGAATGTGTCTTCATAGCACCAAAGAATGGGGTGGAAATGAGAGATCACTGGCTTTCACAGGGTAAGAAGAAGCTGGGTCATCTCAGCTCTCTCCATGGAAGGCCTGGTCTCACCTGCACAGAAGAAAACTCATTTTGTGGTCATTCATATCCTACCAAGGCCATAAAGTTTCATTGACAAAAGGCAAAGCCCATCCAGGTGGGGTTCAAAGCCGTTGTTTCTGAACCTGTGTAGAGCTAGATGGGATCTTCAGACCCGTCAAGAGTTTTATCTCATCGTTTTGCCCACAGGGTACTCTCTGAGTGCAAATTAACGTCCCACTTAAAAACTGGGACAGTGAATTTGTATTGTTGTTCTTGTTTTAATATGTTGACCTTCATACTGTTAGACTTAGGCAAGGCCTGTAGCCTCTCCACTCAAGCTTCCTTCTGGAAAATGAGTACAATCACACCGACTTCAGGGACTGATGATTAGATGAGGTATGAAGGGCCCGTGCTAACTCCAGGTGCGCCATCCCCAGTGCTCTGTATGGAGCCTGACATGAAGACATTACACATCCAGCCTCCTGGTCTCTCTTCTCCTCTTAGGACACGGCTGTTCTTTTATTCCCAAATGATGGGGTCAGACACGAGGCCAGGCCAGCAGCGTCCTCATGCTCATCGTCTTCCAGAGCTGCAAGTCAATAAACTCTTTTCTTCATAAGGTATTCTAACTTGGGTATGTTGTTATAGCAACACAAAACAACCTAAGATAAGATCTTCTGTTTGACTTTTTTTTCAGATGAGACTGAAGCTTGTCATTTGCAAATAGGGCACACATATACACACATATAAATGTATATTTATATATGCAATATATATGCTCTATATATGTATATCTGTGTATATATTCCCTATGTGTATGCCCTATGAGTGTATATATGCCCTATATATTTACATACATGCCCTATGTATGTGTGTATATATGTCCTATTTATATGTATGCATACATCACCTATAAATGTATATATGGCATGTATGTCAATATGCCTTATATATGTGCATAAATG